AATCAAACTCCGCGTTCGAATCGCCAAGGTCTTCCTGCGTTTCGTCAACTTCGGCTGCAGCTTGATCGTACTCTCTCTGATAGCCGTGACATTGACTGTCTTCAATGCAACCAAGCACCTGCCCACTCGTAACAACCTTCCTGCCTGGGCAGAGGGTACCAACCCCTGGGCCCAGTACCTCCTTCTGGCCATGGCCTGCGTTTCCCTAGTCGCCTGCCTATTCGTCTTCTACGCCTACCGAAAGGGCGGCCACGGACGCGCCGAAAAGGCCGCCGTCTACTATACCAGCTTCTCGCTCGCCTTCTTCGGCCTGAACCTGATTATGTGGATCGTCGGCGCAGCAGTCTACCAGCACTCCAAGTCTACAGGAAACAACAAGGACATGTGGGGATGGTCCTGTGCGCGGAACACTCGCGAGCAACTCTACCACAACACCGTCGACTATGCTCTCCTCTGTCGTCTACAAGACTGGGGCCTTGTCTGCGCCATCATTGAAATCGTCATCGAAGTCCTAGTCATCATGATCTACGTCGTAGTATTCTACCGCGTCTGGAGCAAGCGCAAGCTGATGAAGTCCATGGACACCCGCGACAACGCCCGTTCAGATCTATACCTCGCCCAGCTACGTCTGCAATCAGCCCCGAACACCCCCGGCTTCGCAGGCTTCGCTTCCTACCCTCCCAAGTCCCCCTTCTACGCCGCCGGTGCCGTGGACCCCTACTCTTCCGCCGAGAAGGGCATGGCTCAACCACAGACTACCCAGTATGCCTCGCCGCGCTCGCCTACCCGCCCTACCCCATCGTTCCAGCTCCAGCCCCCTCCTATCAAGGTCCAGCAGGCGACCCCACAGTCTGTTCAGGAGGAGTTTGCTCCTCCTGCTCGCTACTCGCCGCCTCCTCAGAGCCAGCGCCAGAGTTCGCCTGTCAACAGGGGTAGTGCTCCTGGTGAGCCCACTTACGACTCCGTGCCGATTCCTGGGGCTTATCAAAGTCCCATGGTGCCGGTGTTCCCGCCCCCTGTACGCAAGTAAATGTTGATGATTGCAAGATTTCTTTTTTCCTTTTGACTTGTGGTGTTTTGGTTCTTCTATCTCCCCTTGTGGGAAATAGAAGTGAAAACGATTAAAAAAACATAAAAAAATGTGGAAAAATCCGAAAAACTACAATTCAGGCCGTCACTTTCGATCGATCTGCTTCAAAATCTGACACTTGTTCTACTTTCTTTTGTTTACCCTCCTCGCTATGGAGTTTAATGTACACCCCTGGGGCACTTGGAGTTTTGGTGTGAGATACAGATACCTATTTGGACTTTGGTACACTGTTGGTGTATTTACTCTTTTTATCTTTGGTTTTGTCCACTGAATATATTGCAATGATACATACATGAACACTTTACTGGCTTTCATCCTAGCACTGTAGTCTATGGAGATCTAGGAAGCGTTTATGCCTACCCTAGTACATAGTACTATTTGTTTACTGCACTAGAAAATATGTGAAATTATTTGAATTCATCAAAGTAAACCGAAGAGGCAAAAAGACCCAAGAGCGCCATTCACTGCGAACAGGAAAAAGCAAAACCACAACGCCGCAAGGATCTACCAAGTCACACCGTCCTGTCCATCGTCACTCGTGACCAACATGCATACTGTAGTGCTTCTACCCGTGTCAACTGTACATGCAAACTAAAAACAATCCAGGCTCTCACATTCCTCCTGCCTCTTCAATGATAGCGTGCGTATCCCTACTTACGAAGATCTCTTCTAGGGTAGCTGCATTAGCGCCCATTTTGCTGAGATCACTCTCAAGCACGAGGCCCTGTTCATTGGCAAGATGCAGTAGACAGATAAATCCGAATGACGTGCTGATATCACGTAGGGTCTCAGCTGGGTAGACTGTCTTGAGGGAGTTCATGATTTGGGTGAACCGTAGCCGGCCAGTATTCTTGACATCGGTAGATTGGTCTGGGCTCTCGGCCTTCGGTGTGGCCGGAACAGGGGCATCCGCTTCACTCTCGGGTTCGGTCGGGGGTTCACTGGACACGGCCCCTGGTTGTGAAGCGGAGGCAAAGTCCACAGCGTCAACTAGGCGCTCGCCCATGCCCTTCCACATCTCCGTTTTGAGGCGTCGAACGTCCACCTTCTTTGCCACACGTGCATATGCCACGTAGTCTGGTCGTGCACGACGACCACCTTGTGTCACTAATTGTGAGCCGTAACCGCCTCCGGGTCGGCCCGGCGTGGCGCCAACCATGTTCAAGAGCGCGCTGAGTCCAGTTGCTCCACCTGCTTCTCCGGCTGATGTGCCTGGTGGCCCGTCTACTGGTGGAGAAAGCATCTCCCGGGCATCTGCAAATGGCAGATTGTCGTCATCATCGAGATCCATACCGTTCGGGAAAGCAAGACCATCGTCATCAGCAAAGAAGTTCGCATCATATGCACCGGCAGCACCTTCTTCGCCGGCAGTTTCTTCTGGCTTGCGATTTGCCCAAAACGCCTCGTCCATGTCTCCATTACCAGCCGTCATATCCTGACGACGGCGTTTGCCCAAAATCTTCTTTGAGCCCATCTTTGCTTTTGGCTTGAGGAACAGCGTAAGTAGATTGCGGGAGTTGAAATGCTTGTCGTCGGGAAGAAGATTACGACCCTTGGTCTTCCACTGTGTCTTGGGTAATGAGACGGCGGAGTTGGAGCTGGCAGGAGTGTAGATTAATTCTGCAATAGCAGGGTCCAGAGGGGCAGCGAAATCAATCTCAAAGGGCTCTTTCTCTTTGCGCAGCTTAGGTGCCGACGTAGCGGGTGTTGCATGTTCTTTGATCCTTCGAATCTTCCAGTGTTCTGGGCCAGCCCAGTTCTTTTGTAGCGCGTTGTCGAAGTAGCTTAGGATGTTTTCGTGGTCGTGACTATTACTTTGATGAGACATTGAGATGGCATATGCGTCTTCATCCCCATCCTCGCCTTCGCCATCATTATCTCCATCGTGGGTAGCTCGGTGAACATTCAACATCGGTTCCAAGGCGGCTTCCCGAGCCCACACCTCTCCTCCGTCACCAAACCCGGTGTCCCCACTGAGATCAAATCCGGCTAGGGTAGCATCATCGTCATCAAACCCGACAGCGTTGTCATCGTCGAGCATGATACCAGATGGGTCATCAGGGGCTCGTCCATCTTCATCCATCTTGTCGTGGCGCCATTCCTCTGGCGCTTTGAGGAGAGGAAGATCCAACGACCCGCTGGGATCACCCAGATCGAGGTTCTTGAGCGATGGACAAATATCTTGTTCATCCAGACGATCCAAATCAGGGAAAAACTGGCTCGCTAGTGAGCCAAGATCGATCTCTGTGTTATCTTCGAAGATATCGCTTGCGGGTTTCTGGGTTGGCTTTGTTTGGTCCTCGGTCTGCTGGTCAGGCTCCGCAGAATCCTGACGGTCATCTTCCGCGGTTTTCGCACTATCGTCCACAGCATCATCACTACTGTCAAACACAATTCTTCCATGGGCATCGATAGCTAGGTGGTTTAGAAGCAATCCTTTGGCGCCTCCTTCATCAAAGTCTGCCGATGCTTTCTTGAATAACGGGTCCACGGCGAACTCTAGCTCGAACTTCTTCAGTTGCAACGCCGAAAATGACGGGGCGAGGGTGGCCTCATGGGAACGTGTCTATACCCCATCGAGTTAGTCAAATCCTGTATCTCCAACACCGTATAGTCCATACCTTTTTTCGCGACTTGCGAGGTTGGCCATCTTCACCTTCCTCATCCTCATCGCCATCTTCTACCTCCTCCCCGCGCCCTCTCTTATCGCGACTATCAGCCAGTCCACTAAGCAGTTTTCCAGTCTCCGTTGCGACACTGTCCACTCGGCTGGTGTAGATTTTAACACAACCGTCAAGGGTGCAACTGGCCTTTTGGAAGTTCACACTATCTCCTTCCTTCAGCAATGACATGTCGTGAAAGTAGTCGATCAGCGCAAAGTTCCAGGAGTTATTCGCATTGATTTTGTTATCGGTTGCCATCTTCATCCACTCCTCAAAATTAGCCAAGATAGGCACGCGCTTCATCGGCGTCACTGCGCGGCCATTGACATCACTAGTGCGACCGCGATGATTCGAAGGTCGAGGGGTTGCGGGACTGTCGCTCCCTTCACGATCGTAGGTGTATCGACGGGGTGGCATAGGCGTTTTAACTGCGGCTTTAATCTCACTCATTTGGCGATCATGACGAGCCTGACGAGCCTCCATACGGGCTGCCTTCTCACCCTCATCGTCGTTGAGGGGGATCCTGATTTAATTAGTTGAATGTCGTAAGCAGCAAATATCTCAGTACGTACTTGACCGGAGAGTTTTTGTGCGGGGTCGAGTTGCCGTTAGAACGGCGGTGCACTTTGTTTGCGACACGCGGCATGGTTGCGGTTGCCCCCGATAGGGGAGATAACGTTGAAATGGAAGGTTTGATGGAGGGGAGGGGTTGATATCGATGAAGCAAAACAAATGGGGAAGTCAACAAACATACGGCGGTCCAAATAGACCAGTGACGCGATACCTATCACGTAATCATGAATTGATGCCTGGAATATCAGGTATCCTGCTCGTACCAAGTTAGGCTTTCCTTTGGTCCGTTCTTTTGAACTTCAATAGCCAATCCTCCCAATTTTTGATTCCAACTCTTGCTACTAGACTATCTTTTATCTTTTATTACATTTATTCAATCTGCGATCGATCCATCGAAACACCCAGTTTCCCTGAGATCAGTGCAACAACGATCGGCGGCGGACGTGCATTGGCCCACTCCCGAGGTCCGCCACAGCCACAGCCCCGGAGCTCCGCCCAGCTGACATCACCGCGCTCCTCACCGCACTCACGCTGGCATATACAAACCAACACCTGTTAGAGACGCTTGAAATATATGTTCTAAAAGCATTGAGTCTTCAATGTTGATCTTGTTGGTATAGGTTGGAATACAGCACCTTAAGTGTTCGGCCCATGATGCCGCCATACTTCTCGTCATGATGAACCAGCTGCCGTCCTTCCTGCAGCCTGCCGTCCGCAAACCCCGATATTCAATTCGACCATTTTATACCTCACTGTTAGTGTTTGCACTTATTGCAACAGCGAAGTTCCTCTTCACTGGTACTACAAACGAACACGCGCAGGTTGCGCAACCGGGTACAGGGCCATATGGGCACCTGTTCAAACGAGAGGGCGAACTTGAGGTATCTTTTCTTTCCCAAATCCTATCCTGTGAGATGGCACCGAAGGCTAAATAATGTTCTGTCACATGATGATACAGTGCCGCTTGGTCCGCAACGTGAAAGATCAATGTGCCTACGTCCGCGCCAACTGCCCCGATCACGAAGATGGCCTAATCTCGTACCTTCAATTTTACTATTGCGGTCTGGCCGACGCGAAACCGGTAGCATTCATTATATTGATACTCTGGCTATCACTGCTCTTCAGTACCATCGGTATTGCGGCAAGCGATTTCCTATGTATTGATCTAAGTACATTGGCCAGCATTCTAGGATTGAGCGAGAGCCTCACAGGCGTGACATTTCTTGCATTTGGCAATGGAAGCCCTGACGTATTTTCCACTTTCGCCGCCATGCGGTCGAATAGTGGGAGCTTGGCGATTGGTGAGTTGATCGGCGCGGCGACTTTCATCACCTCGGTTGTCGCGGGCTCTATGGCTTTGGTTCGGCCATTCAAGGTCGCGCGAAGGAGTTTTGTCCGAGATGTGGGCTACTTTGTAGTTGCCGTCGTTTTCAGCATGTTTATGTTGGCCGATGGGAAACTCCATGTATGGGAGTCAGCTGCGATGGTATGCTTGTACGCCTTCTATGTTGTAATGGTGGTGACCTGGCACTGGTATCTGGTACGACAACGCCGAAAGAATGAGAGAGACCTTGCAGCGCGAGCTCACTTCCATATACCGGAGAACCAAGAGCTGGAGATCGAAGAGGCCGCTGAGGACGATGATCCTGGTGTAGCGTCAGAGTCACGAAGTCTTCTTCGCGGTGCCTCAACTGAAGATTTTGATCTTCTGGAGCGCGCAGAGGTTGTTCCTCTGTGGAAAAAGGAAGATGATGAGGACGATGAAACGCGCAACCGGTACTTGGCTGAAATCCGTGATAACATGCACGTTTATCGGCCAGTGAAATCGAGGCGTAACACGATGAACCCCATTCGACCGAGTCTTGTTGGTGCATTGGAGTTTCAATCGGTTCTTCACTCACTGCAGAAATCAAGAAGCAGCCGTCGCAATCCGACAATAAGCCTGAACAGCTATTCGGACGACGGTGACTCCGATTTCGACAGGCGCTCGGTGGCATCGCACCCTCGCGTCAGTCGACCATCTGCTACTAATGACCGCTTATCGCCGTCCAGTGCAGCAGGTTCCTCTCGCGTTCGAGCTGTGTCGGCGAACGATGCCGTTGGGTTAAAATTTGACTCCAGTGTCTTGGAGCCCTCGCCAAAACAAGGCCCACTGCTCACAGTGAGCAGACCTTCTCTTGAGGATACTTCGGGACAAGAAGCCTTGGACTCACGCCAGCTCCCTCGAATTGACACCGGGATGGCACTAGACGTGTCTTCTGCGAATCGGTCGCCGAGTCTGAGTCCAGGTACCACAAGTCCTCAAACTCCCGACCGGCTCGCTCCATCGGACGCTTTTAACCCCCCTCATTACCACCACGGAGCTACGAATGAACGGCCCTCGATGTCAGTATCTCCCAGGGGCACCGCAACCCGGGCTCATTCAGGCTTCGGGCTAGAAAGTCCTTCAGTGCCCTTCCCATCGTATACTGATATACCATCCATGCCATCCTCACGACCACCTAGCATTCGACTTCCAAATTCAGTTAGCCCGTTAGAACGGTTACAAATTCACGAAGGATATGATGATTTCGCTCATGTAGGCCTCCCTTTCCGCAAATACCTGAGGAATTGGTGGCCTGACTCGATCCCCCCTCCCCAGCAGATTGGTTGCACGCTATTCCCGACCTTGGCAGGCTGGAAGTCTAAAAATGTCTGGGAACGCCTGCTCGGTATTGTAGCAGCTCCCAGTGTGCTGCTTCTTACCATAACGGTTCCAGTCGTTGAGCCGGAGGCAGCAGGGTCTGTGGAACCGGACCCCATACCCTCGGTGATCATTGAGGACGTCAACGATGAAGGGAATCCCTCCCCGAGAGTTAGACTTCCAGCCGATAGTCCAGTGATTGTGGCTCAGACACATGAGTATGCCGGATCAGTTTCCAACTTGCCGCCAACGCACCCCCATCGAAAGTCCTCGTATGAACAAACCGGTCGCCCGCGATGGGACTCGGAACTCCCCGCAGTGCCAGCGCCAGGTTCTTCTTCTATGGATCCTGCACCAGCAAAGGACTGGAATCGCTGGCTGATTTCCATCCAGCTTTTCACAGGTCCCTTTTTTGCCGTGCTCATCGCCTGGACGACCATGGACGAAGATCGTGAGCTGAGCAACCTCGTTCTTCCCTCTCTCGTCTCCTTATTATTCTCCTGCGTCTGTCTCACTGTCCTGATAATAAGCACCCGTCGTCAAAAAAACCACCGACGCCCCGGTGCAGATATCTCCCTTCCGCTCCTCCCCGACGAATCCCAACCCAACAAAGGCACTCTTCCACCGCCATGGCGGCCGTTCCTCTCCCTGCTTGGCTTCTTCGTGGCCATAGCGTGGATTGCGACGATCGCCACAGAAGTAGTCTCCCTCCTCAAGACCATGGGTGTCATCCTCAACATCTCCGATTCCCTACTCGGATTGACCATTTTCGCCGTCGGGAACTCGCTCGGCGATCTGGTCGCTGACATCACAGTCGCTCGACTCGGGTATCCGGTCATGGCTCTGAGTGCCTGTTTCGGTGGTCCCATGCTCAATATCCTCCTCGGTATTGGGCTTGGTGGTATGTATATGACCATCAATGGCGGGAGCCGGAGAAACAACGAGGCGCTACAGGATGTCACCCCTGTGCAAGTCCCCTATGAGATCGTCATCTCTAAGGTGCTTGTTATCAGTGGCGCGACACTTTTGATTATCTTGGCTGGGCTCTTAATTGTTGTTCCTCTGAACAATTGGAGAATGGATCGCAGGATTGGCTGGGGTCTTATCGCTGTTTGGTGTATCAGTACCCTGGGTAATGTGATTGCGGAGGTTATCTTGTGAATTGGAGTATTGAACACACGATACCCAGGAATGACTATTGGTTTATGTTTTCTTTTGGTTTGATTTGGTTGTCGGTGTCGGTTAGGCATGGTGTTTTTCTTTTCTGCGTTCCTGTTTTCAGTGTACAGATATCCACATGCTGATAGTACAGTCTTTCTGCATGTAAAGTAATTGTGGAAGGACTATGATATACGAAATGCATTCTCATTCAATTCTGAGCTTCCATATACAAGACCTTTACATTTGGGTGCTCTGTGATTAGGCTAGAAGCTAAATCTCTACTGGTATTCTATATACAGCTTAAGAGTCAGCAAATCTATCTTACCCAATATCTTGCAAATTTCCAACTGCGCTGAAGGCGTTGACAACATCATAGAAGACATGCCTCGCAATACACCCAGCACTCAAGGGCTGCCATTTGAAATTCTAGGTAGATTAGTATCTACTGAATAAACTCCCAGAAATGACATCTTTTTCATGCTATGAACTATTCAAATGATGAAGCCCTCAATGCCTCCCATTCCTTGTCCAACATTCTATATTGGATAACATCATACCATTTGCGGTCATACCAATACGCTTCACGACTCCGTCCCTCCTCTACAAATCCAATCTTTCTGTACAACGCACGCAGATCGTCATTGTAAGCAACAACTCGCATTTCAACGCGATGGTAGTCTCCGAAACGAAAAGCCCAATCCAATGCCCAGTTAATGGCTTCCTCTCCATGATATCGATACGGAGCCACTAGTGAGATCGCCAACCGCGTCGATCGATGATGAGACTGAGCTCTAGGATGTCCACTCCAGCCGGTTGGCTTTTGAGGCAACATTATCAACGACCCGACGATGCGTTAATTAACAACTGATTTATAAACTCAAAGAGGCCATATCATCTCTGAAATTTGGATAAGTACATATATTTAGGTCAGACCTTTATTGACTCGCACTAGTTAGGCAGAATAGGGCAAGGTAACCTCGCCACTAAACCAAGCCTTCTCCGAAGTCCTCAGGACCAAATATAAAACTGTCAAAGTCAAAGTTCACATCCTTGAAAATATCATCAAAACAAGCACCCGCAGGCCCATCCGCTATCAAACCACACCCAATACCATCCAGACTGGGGGACTTGCCCGTAATCCTAGCTGCGAGGGTCTCAAATGTCCACACACACTGCTGAACATAGGGACTCAAGTGTTCATGAGCGCGGAGCGCCATCAGCACATCTTTCCAAGATTGAGAAACAGAGTCTGTGAACAGTTCCGATCGAAACATGGCTGCGAGGAAGTTGGAACCCGCGATGTGAAGGTAGTATATTCTGTACCACCACGGCAGGAGTCCGATGGGCTCATCTAGCTCGAGTGACTCGATAACTAATAAAGCCACCTGCTGCGCAGCTTCAATGCACATGCTGGCGCTTTCACGGAGGAGTCGGTGGCTTAGGCTTGGTGATTTGAGCGAGTGGATGTCTGGTTTCATTGAGTAGAAGCGGGCGAGCATGGGTCTGTAGAGAAATATTCGGTGATGGAGGTAGCTACATAGAACAATAAAAATCAATTCAATGTTGGTAATGGAGAGTGATTCTTGGCTTACCGAAGATGAAGTAAATATCGCTCAGCTCGGGATGACCTGTCGGCGATCATTTTGAGGTTCTGCGACTGCCAATCACTGGGAAGACTGTTTTCCCAATTTTGGAGGCATGCATCTAGTTGCAATGCCGCGCTGTGGTACTCGTCTTGCTGAGACAGGAGTGGAGGGCGGAACCTGGCTGCGAGACTAGTTCGTGTCTGTATCTGTGCTAACTGGATTTGATTTCCAATTTCATGGAGTCCCAATCCCCAGTTATTATGCATTGGATTCTGGTCTAAATGCTGGAGGCTACTGGTTGGCGGTGATGGTATTAGCACCAATGCCGATGTTTTACCCAGTGACCAGGAGATACATCTATATGAAGTGAGTCAGTGACGATTATAGAAGAGCGACTCTTCCATAACTTACCGGTCGAGCGCAACACAGCTAGCCCATACTTTCCGTTTCAGGGCTTTGTCTTCACTGGAATCCTTTACTAAAGGTGCCTCGGCGAGGTGGCAGCACATACTCTGCGCAATTCGCATCGCCAATCCCGCTGTCATCCATGTCTTCTGTTGATTATTGGTGCAGTGCAGGTATCTATTCATCAACATCAGGCACTGTACAAGCTCTAGTGACCCTGGCTTCCATAACATAGACTCAGCTGGAAGCAGGGCCCATGCGCGCTGAAAAAACCAGTTTCCTTCTGCGTTTCTCCGGTGCAGTGAGTTTTGTTCATATCTTTGAACTGCCAGGGCAAACACTAGATTGAGTATACCGAGCAAGAGGTCGTAGTCTGCAAAGAGCGACGTTATGGGTGCTGAATATGCTTTTTCGTAATTTTCAAGAAAACGCTGGCGATCTAATACTGGCTCCACAGGGTCAACGTGTCGCCAGTATATGTCAATCAGCTGATCGGCATATACTCGGGGAGGCAATTCGGTCGAAGACAAGAGACAGGATTGAGAATGAAGGTCGAGATCCCCAAAAAGAGGCGCATCTACCAGTGGGACTTGACAGGTGGTAGGGATGAGTCCTGCCCTTGTGTCTATGGCAGCGGCGACCTGTCCGACAAACCGCCCATATGCGGTGTAGTATGCCCGGTCTTGCTCCAGATCAGACTTTGACTCTTGATCTTCGTCGATATAATGAGAAGCAGTTACTGAATTAACCATGGGGGGCGTTGTGGTCACCGATGCTGGCGGAGAGACCATCATTGAACCGGGCTTTTGAGATGATGCTCGTCCACGAGGCTTACGCGCTGTCTGCTTGCCAACGGTACTGGTGGAGTGGCCATAATCACACGTCTGATCTCTTGCCAGACATGCAGAGCATACTTTATGTGCATGTCAGCCTTATGTACAAGCTCTGAGGGTCAATGAAACAATGGAAGTAAGAAATACCCGGGCGAGCGCCATCACATTTAATCTTCCTCAAGCGACATATTTGGCAGGCGTTTGTGACCTTCAGTCTCTGCCTGCGTAAAGAGTTTGATGGCACGTGCTGGTCACTCATAACTTCTTTCATCACTCCTGTAGTAGACAGTTGGGGGGGCGAGTGACCCCATCGATCAGGGCATTCTGCCTGATTGATAATCATAACATAAACCAATCAGATGCCTTTCCGTCTCAACCTGAACGGCCCCATAGCGGAAAGCACTTTCATTCGCTGAAAATTTCCACTTTTTACAGGTCGACCAATGAAAGAGCATCCCGTCTTTGATAGCTTCCGTGGGCAAAACCATTATATAGATCGAAAACAATATTGAAAGTTGCACTCACATTTCTCTCCAAACATGTCTAATATTGAATCGAAAACTCCTGTCAGCGCAGGCGAAGTCGAAAAGAGCCATACCTACGATGGTTCCGGAACCGAGGATGACCCATTCGTGGTGGAGTTCCAAAAAGACGACCCCAGCAATCCGATGAACTGGGGTCAGTTCCGCAAATGGTTCATTGCAGCCATTGCAACTTCTTCAGTCTTCGCCGTGACCTTTACTTCCTCCGCGTACTCGGTGTCAGCAAATGAAGTCTTCCAGGACTTTGATATCAGCACCGAGGTCTTCATTGTCGGGCTTTCCCTCTTTGTGCTAGGGTTTGCGATTGGCCCTGCTGTATGGGGTCCCTTGGTAAGCCATTGATTCTTCTCATCATTTTAACGAAACACAGCTAACCATACTCCTTTTTATAGTAAGTTTTAAGGATGCCATCCTATACACCTACTATACAGAGGCTTATAGCTAACATTGACTCAAGGTCGGAACTATATGGAAGACGGATCCTCTGGATCATCACTCATATCGCCATGGTTGCTTTTCTAGGAGGCTCCGCAGGCAGCCAAAACGTGGCTACCCTCCTCATCCTGAGACTCTTTGCTGGCACATTTGGCGGCTCACCCCTCGTCAACTCCGGCGGAACAATTGCCGATATATTCCCGCCTGCCCAGCGTGGTCTGGCATTGACTATCTACTGCGTTGCACCTTTCCTCGGCCCGATTCTGGGTCCAATCGTGGGCGGCTTTGTGTCTGAAAATATCGGATGGAGATGGGTGCAGGGTGTCTGCGTGATCTTCATTGGTATAATCGGCATTCTGGGTATTGCTTTTATTCCTGAGACATATGGCCCGGTTTTACTTCAACAACGGGCACGTCAGTTGGCCAAGGCCGATGGCAAGGTCTACGTGAGCATTTTGGAAAAGAACCAAGGGAAGAAGAAGCCGTCGGAAGTCTTCAAGCGCGCTTTGTTCCGTCCCTGGATTTTCCTCTTCCTCGAGCCCATCGTCTTGGTAGCATCACTCTACATGGCCATTATCTACGGCACGGTCTACATGTTCATGGGTGCCATGCCCATTGTATATAACGAAGACCGCGGCTGGAGTGAAGGTATCGGCGGACTGTCATTCATGGGAATCGCAGTTGGCATTATCTTTGGACTGATCTACGCAATCTGGGACAACAACAGCCGATACATGAAGCTCTTTGCGGCAAAATCAGCAACGGCCGAGTCCCGCCTGCCACCTGCGATAGTGGGAGGTATTGCCCTCCCAATTGGTATGTTCGCCTTTGCCTGGACAAACTACCCTAGCATCCATTGGTCTGTCAGTATTATCCTGTCTGCGCCGTTTGGATTCGGCTGTGTACTCGTCATCTTGCCAATCATGAACTATTTGATCGACACTTACACCATCTATGCTGCCTCTGTTCTGGCAGCAGCTGCCATCTTCCGCTCGCTTGTGGGCGCTGTTTTCCCCCTGTTCACGACGCAGATGTACCACAATCTGGGTATTCACTGGGCGTCGTCTATTCCGGCATTCATGACTCTCGCTTGCATGCCATTCCCCTTGATTATGTATCGCTATGGCGCAGCGGTCCGAATGAAGTGTAAGTACTCATTTGAAGCGGCAGAGATGATGAGGAAGATGCAAATGCAGCAAACGACTGCTACTGCAGAGAAGGATAAGGACTCGGCGTCTGAGTGAGCCAGAGGAATATCTAAACATTGTTCCGCTAGAGGGGCAAGGGTACAAAGGTTAGAAGCACGAATGCTTGCCAGAGCTTCATTCGTTTCTAGCTTAGGTTTGTATCTCTTGACCACGAAGTACCTAGATAAGTATTGTTATAGATGAATATCATGGGGGTGATACAACCCCTAACTGAGCACAAAATGGGAAGGTACCTGGGCGGTACCTGCCCAGAACTACGTACATAGTTAGCTACCTACATACATACATACAGGGTTAATTCGGCCTGGAGTGGCCAGAATGCATCTTCTTTAAGGCTTCAGCTAAAACTAGAAACAGTTTTCAATGTTGCTCCAAGTTACCTAAGCATATGGATAATAAACAAAAATGAGTATTCCAAGAGAAGTACAGCAATACAGCTACTCGCTAACCACTCTCCCATTATCCATTGACATCGTCACCTGGTTCTCCAATGTAGGTACGATCATGTCATTCCCCTTGTCTCTCTGTACAATATGTGATCCTAAAACAGAAAATAAAATAAGACTCTCCAATTCAATCCTCACAGCACGCGTCCAGCTGACGAGCTTGTGCTGCGGTCATTCACTTGAGTCTTCCTCAGGGGCTTGCCTTGCTGGATAGACGCGAGGAGGGCGCCTCGGCCGGCGCCAGCGGCTGGGGGAGCAGGTGGAGGCGGGATGCCGGCTGGAGGGGGTGGCGGGGGAGCAGATGGGGCTCCGCCAGGGGGTGGGGGAGGGGGCATGGAAGGAGCACCGGCTCCTGGAGCAGGAGGGGGGGGAGGGGGGGGAGGGGGAGGTACTCCAGATGGTGCGGCTGGTGGAGAGACGGCATCGCCAGAGCCTGGAATAGCAGGAACTGGAGGCAGAGTTGCTGGGGGTGGGGGAGGAGGTGCAACAGGGCTTTCTTGTACCGGGGTGGCGGACTTCGAGGGGGACTTGTCGTCGTCCATGGCACTCAAAGGACGCGGGGGCGCCATAGTGCCAAACAGGATGCTGGCAAGTTGTTTGGCGCTGCCACCGGTTGGACGGTCATCCTCATCGTCAGACGAATCGAAATCGGAGCCAGCAGCGGACCAGTCGTCATCTTCCTCAGGTCGGACACGAGTCTTGCGTTCCAGAGGGGCTGCACCAGTGAAGGTGGGCTTGATGGGTTCTTGCTGGGTCAAGCGGTGGAAGGGATTCGTAGACTGAGCTGTAGGCGGCGAAGTGGCATGGGTAGGCTCAGATGGCTGACCCATGTTCTTGAAGTATGGGTTCTTGGACTCAGCATCAGGTGTGGTAGCAGGAAGACCACGGCTGCTCTCGGGGGAGCTCACTTCGCTAGGCACGCTTTCGGGGGCGGCGGGTTCAGGAAGGGCTATCGTAGGCACTGGGGGTGGGGTAGGGAGTGTCTGGCTCTGCGTTGGGGTGCTGTACTGAGGCGTAATATCGGCAGGGCCTTCGTCATCAGACGATGACTCGTCAAGTCCCTCGAGTTCACGCTGCAGCTGTCGCTCACGTTCCTTGGCAGCTTCCAGTTCAGCGCGCTGGGCTGCGAGACCAGCTTCCTGTTCTTTGGCCTGTCGGCTAGCCTCTTCCCGACGACGCTTCTCTTCCTGCTTCTTGATCTTGCCCTGGCGGACCTGTTCCTCAAGAGCACGAAGTCGAGCGGCCTGGGCATCCTTCTCACGTTGGAATTCCAGCTCGCGTTGGCTTGCCTCGCTTCTGTGAATGTGTTAGTCAACTACACTAGTTTTGTCTCTATCAGCCGTTGGTTACTCACTCCAGACGCTTAGTCTCCGCCTCCTGCACCTCTTGTTCTTCCTTGATGGTTTGCTCACGGGCAGCCTGGTCCGCCTTGGCGGGATCCTCTGCCTTCTTGGCATCAGCTTGCCCGGCACTATCCGTCCGAGCTCTGCGGGTGGGCGGTGCCGGGGGTGGCTTCTTGCCCGCAGTCTTCGGAGCTGGTTCACTAGGACCACCCCGTTCCTCGGCGAGACGACGCTGTCTCTCCTGTTCCCGCTTGGCATCTTCTTCCTCGGCGCGTCTGACACGGTCTTCGCGCTCCTTCTTCTCACGTTCCTGACGTTGCGCAAGGGTCTCAGTAGCATCATTTGGCTTCAAACCAGCAGCAGCCATGCGCTCCGCAATGCGCTTCTGGGCACGCTCCCGAGCAGCCGCCACACGATCTTCGTGAGTGTTACCAGGAAGAGAGGATGAGGAGTCCACGGACTGAGGCATCGAAGGGCGCGCAGCAGATTCGACAGCTGGAGATGCTCTCGGGGAAGGTCTCTCGCGCCTGTGAATTGTCAGCATTAAACACTTCTCCTAATTGACAAGAATAACATACTCTTCTTTGCGAATATTTGCAGTTCGCGCATTACGGCTCAGGTCGTAGATGAAGTCGCGGATGACATCCTCAACTCCCAATGCATCTTCCCAACGACGCTTCTCATGCTCACGTGTGGAAGTTTGGCCTTCGACCCGGAGACTGTCTTCCAAACTGCGAGCGAAATCACGGACACTTTCCTCAACATCGCGAGTCATAGTGTCGTTGCGCTCCCGCTCCATTTTCACGTTAGTGCTCTCAGCCTCCAGACGACGAGCCGCTTGGCCATCATCATCTTCTGTCGCGGGCGCCGGGCGCCCAGAAAGCTCGGCAGCCCGGGCTTGCATACGCGCACGGGCACGGGCCTTGATTCGATCTGCCTCGGTAACAGTGCCGCCAGGGCCAGTGCCAATGATGTTAGAAGCACCACCGGGGTGTGCCTTGGCGTCCCTAAGTCGGAATAGCTCAAGCTTCGCGTCCGCGATTTCACGCTCAAGGCGACGAACGTCAGATGCAACCTGAGGAACTTGATCTTCAAAAGACTGCAGTTGGCGGCGAAGAGCCCTGCGCTCCGCCCCATTGTCCACTTGACGGAATGCGGCATTGGGGTGGGTATCGAGGTCGTCCTGTACACGACGGATGCGCTCCATGAGACTCTCCGCCTCACGGCGATCCTGGCGGTCTAAATCATCATCCTCCTCGGCACGGTTCTCATCTTGGAAATCGGCAGCGTCAATCATGACTTTAGTCTCGCGGATCTTCTTTTGCAGCTGTTCCACGGAGTACTCCTCGTCTGAGGCGCCAGACGCGGCTGGAGACGGGGTACGAGCCTCGTTACCAACGCGACGGCGTGCACTAGAGCGGTATCCACCAGCGGTGTCATTGTTCTTGAACATTGTTGCATCCTTGCGGCTGGCGCCAGCAGAGCCTCCCGCACCACCACGGAAGGAGTGATCCTTAAGGTAGCTGACACCAGTCTTCTGTGGCTGCAGGAACGCCCCCGTAGCCTTGCGAGTTTCAGCATCCTGAGATAGAAGAGACTTCACCGTACCGATAGAATCATTCAAGTGTCTCGTAGAAGGAGGAACAAGCTCGGGTGGTAGACGGCTAGGAACTGGGTATCCGTTAAGAGCGCGATAGATCAGGTGCATAGCCACGGCGAACTCATCCATGTTCAGTCGACCGCGGTTATGAGGATCAGCCAGGGTCCAGATGCGTTCCAGGTCTTTTCTATTCAAACCACTTTGGCCCATGATCTCGATGGCAGTCTCTCCACTAATGAAGCCCTTGCGGAAACCGTCCCATGCGCGGAAAAGATCATCGTAAATCTTCTTCTCCTCCTTCGTAATTGCCCAGGCAACTTTAGCATTTCCTGAAAGACCAACAGCACTGAAACCACCTTCACGCCCAGGCTGTGGCATGAGCTGCTGCTTCATGGCATCGATGTTGGGCAAACCCTGCGATGGTGTGTTAATAAATCCCCATTGGCCTGGGATGCCCGTGGGCTGAGCCACCAGGCCTGTAGGCTGCACACCCAGACCTTGCATTCCACCAGTCTGGGCGGGGCTGAGGTTCGAACCGTAACCAGTAGGCATAGGCGGCATTGGAGGCCGGGGGCCGGTGTATCCGGTAGCCTGCGGGTTGCTCATGAAACCGGTTTGTTGAGACTGAAGGAATTGAGGTTGGTTCTGGCCAGGGAAGCCAGTTTGGTTGGGCTGCTGGATACCTGTCTGCTGGGGGAAGAACCCGGTAGGCTGTGCTGTCAGTTGTGACAGGAGCTGTGCGTTGTTCGGTTGCTGCGGGACGGGCTGTTGAACAATTGGAGGCGTCGACTTGTTCTCCATGAGAGGGGCATCGAAGTTGGGCACGTTTGTTCGCTGCTGTTGGACCGGCTCCTCGGGGACATCGAACGAGATGATATCAACCATGCTGGAAACCTCGTTCTTGATTGTCTCGGGTAGGGAAGAAGGAAGCTCGCGACCGGTGAGACGGATATTGCAGAGGTACATAGCCAATGCAAATTCGGGGAAGAACAACTGTCCAGACTTGGTGGTATCAGACAAGACCCAGATCTTAGAAAGATCAGCGCCTGTTAATTTGGAGCGCAGCAAAAGATCTCTTGCTTTGTCACCTATTGCGACCAGTCAGTACTGCCATACAAGCCATAAAATGTAACGCATCGGGTGAACGGAAACCCACCCTCCATTGTCTTGCTATCGCCAACAGCAGACTTAAAAAGCTGCTCGAACCTCGCCTGGTCCTGCGCCGTGATGAAAGAAAGCCGAATGCTTGGAATCTTCGACCCTGTCTTCGGGGGCACCTGAGGAGGCGCCCCAGAGCCAGCAGCACCTTGGAAGGAGTTCGCGATATCGGTGGAGGTCTTGAATCGAGTTGGTATCTGCGGCACTGGCGGCGGCTGCTGCGCCTGATTCTGCGGAGGGAATCCAGTATATTGTGGTTGGAAGCTTTGCGCCTGCTGCTGCTGAGGTTGCTGGGGCGCGGCGCCAGGGAAGCCAGTGAATTGCGGCTGGAGCTGTCCTGCGGGGAATCCGGTGGCTTGAGGCTGTACCTGCGAGTTACCGAACGGGGAGGGCTGGCCGGCGAATCCGGTCGGCTGTGGAGCAAGACCAGTGGGCTGTGAGGCAAACCCAGTCGGTTGAGGTTGTTGCATTGATGGTGGCTGTTGACCCTGGGGGAATTGTGAATAGGGGGGTTGCTGCTGCTGTTGCATGAACGGTGCCTGGCCGGGGCGGCCACCGGCACCACCCCCGAGGAAATTATTCGACGAGGAGTACATCACAGAAGCCACGCTCGCATGAGCAAAAGAGATGCAAAAAGCCAACAAGAAATTGACGAGAAGAACGAATGCAACTTAGCGGGTTGAGTCTCAGGAGGATGCGAATGACGCCGTTGCTAGACGCGGAGGCACCCACGCTAACCCCATCTAGTGATTAGTCATGTACCCGCTATTTTTGGATCTACAACTGGAATACTTTGGTTGATCGATGTAAGTGATGATTTAAAGCTTGAAGCTTGTAAATTTGTCGGTAATAGCTAGTTGATTATCTAGCCAAGTCTCTCCGAAAAAGCAGAAGGCAAAAAAGAAACGCGCCAGCAAAAAAAGGGGCCACCCATGAATCCCCAGATCGAAACGAAAAAGAAAACAAACGCAAGGCATAAAGTCCATAACTGCTCCATGCGCCAGATTTTCAGACCTAAGAAAAGAAGACGAATGGTCACTCGGTATCACCCATAGGCAATTACTCAACGATGTTCTGCTGTTGCTGGTTGGCGGCGTTGGCAGCCTTGCGGAGCTCGTACTCCTTGGTGAATTCACGAGACAAGATACCCAGGTCCTTAATCAGAGCCTCGGAGGCGTTGACGACAGCCTGACGAGGAGTTATATCGCCATCAGTCTGGATACGCAGCTGGAACTCGGGAGTCAGCGGGTGAGGAACCTAATAGGTCTTTGTTAGTATATGTTCAAAAAGAAAAATCATAAAGCAGGTTTCTTACGCGGTAAGCCGCGAAGATCACATGAGGAGTCTTCAGAAGACGCTGACGCAGCATGTTGCCGAGGGTGTGGTCTTCCTTGCGGAAGGTAAAGATAGCAGCAGAAGGGAGGCCTAAAGAGAATATGGTCAGCGAGATGGCGCGCGCAACATTGATCAACATCACTTACGGGTGTCGACCTCAACGTCAATCTTGCTTTCACCAGGAGCAAGCAGGATCGCTTCGTAACTATATTCATAGCATTGATTAGCTGATGGTTTCCACAAATGAAAAACAAAACGTGAAGATGCAGAGAAGGGACAAAAGGAAAGCAAACAAAGGCCTTAGGCCTGATAATTGCAATATGTTGATTCAACTAACACGTCAGGGGCATCATCGCTGAGGTTAGGGGGAGGGTTGCGCGGATGGCGACCAGGGCCGATACGGCCAGCACGCTCTTTGGCGATAGCCACGGTGGCCGTGATAATGCCAGGACCCTGAGGCATGATTGCAAAACAGGTGATTCACGGAATTTGCAAAGGACAAGAGGATAGCAGTGCACGAGTATCGTAATTCACAGGTAGACAAGAGGAGGGAAAAGATGTTGACAGCGGAGCAGATGGGAGACATAAACCCGGCGTAATGCTCTTTCCCTGGGAAGGAGCAACGGCGCGAGGAAAGCGCAACCATCGATCTCCGTGTCCTTGCCTCCTTCCCGTTTTGACGAGAAATAAAATGGAAGCCACGATTTACCCAGGATCTGGGGTAAATTGATCTGCGGTACACATGATGCATCCAGAATCCAAATTGAACATCAAGTATTCAAAGCACAACCAACTCCACCAGGGCAACACAAAATGGGCAAAATTTCAGAGAATCAAAAACGCTGGAATGCACTCACCGATCTGGGGCGTTCATAGTTGCGAGAAAAGCTTTAAAAACAGTAAAAGGCTTTGAAGTTAGATCGCAAGATACGTATATCTGTATCGTCTGTTTCTATGATGTATGTATCCAAGAAGTTGTAGAAAAGAGGTTGTAGAAAAGAGAATCTGAGGAGGAGTCAAAATCTGGACGTAGTTTCAAGGTCTATGTATAGCTAACCAGTTCTTTTTGGCTTGTGAAGGCAGCGATGATTAAACGCGCGGTAACTTCAGAATAGGCTTTTGAGAGCCCTTATTGACCTTATCGGCAAAGGATGACTTCGTACAAAGTAGCCCAATGAGGAATTATACTTTAAAGGGTTATTTCGGCCCTGACTTCGCTCCTGTTCGACGTTGACGTTGAGTGATGAAGATATCGTGATACATTTGATATCGATATCTGATATCGATCATGTGACAGCCCTTATGTATGTTATCACGTGACTGTCCTTGATCCACGTATGCTGGGCACTTACTATATGGCTAGATCACAATGGCAGATTAATGATCTTCATTTCACTTACAACTATTAGCATGGTGCTTGTAAATTAAAATACTGTCCGCAATTGTACGTCAAACACTTACGTTTGTCACCGGAATGTAGATGGTGATCACTCAATTTCTGAGACATTATCTATTGTTTCAGTTCCTGGAATCCACCATGCTACTAAGACATGCAATATTTCCACAATTTCTTATCTATTCGATTGCACCATGTCTAGGAAAGCTAAGATACTCAGCCCACGATAGCAAACTAAAGTTATAGTGGACACACAGAATCGGTCATCTTGATATGACATGAAAAATATATTAGCCGTAGTATATGGAGAAAGCCCATCTCAATGCAGATCTACGCTATTGTAAGATATACATGCCCACGGCCAAAAACACTCAAAGGAAAGAAACAAAGAGCTGGAAAGAGCCGATATGACGGCCACAAGGCCCGAAATGTATTAAGAGGGTCGAGTAGACGCAGAGCGCTCTGGCGAGTAGACAAATGCCAAAGAAACAATAAAAAATGAAAGATAGATAGAAACCTATCAAATAAATAAACGCCATGTCTCTTCCAGCGCCGATATCGTAAGAAATCAAGGAAAGAAAGTGAGAGGATCGAACTCAAAAGTCAAACCAGACTAAAATCACAAAGAAAGCATATGTATTCATACTTGTAAATGCCGAATCCCTTTGCCCGGACCGGAATGACCATGGCGTGATGATACAAGGAAACCCGGGACGGGGGAACGAGGGGTGACATACAAGTTGTGAGACGAGGGCCGGGGATGCATTGTCGAGACATATCCAAATGGCACGGCAAGCCCTTCTCTGAGTTGATGGTATGTGCGTCATATGTCATGTCGTAGAGGGGAGGTATTAGGAAATGGAAGCGGAAATGTAAATGCAAAGAAAGGGGCAAGCTATACAGTGTAACGGGGACAGATTTCTTTTCAGGTGCAATGCAAACACGCTTTCATAGTCGAGGTGGAAAAGGAGGAGGGAAAGAAAGTGAGATAGAACGAGGGATTTAGTGCACGGCGCTCAGCAGATCCCCGAACGAGGACGTTCCTCGCTTCATCTTCCAGCTGCTCTTCTTCTTCTCGCGTTTCTTCACCATGTCAGCCCAGGCCTCCTCGTCGTCTTCGTCATCGGAACCGGGCTTTCCACCTCCAAGGCCGGTACCTGACCGTGAAACGGGGCGGACGGTCACAGTGGCAAGATGGGATTTGGGAATCTGGGACTGAGGTATCGGCATGGACGGGTTGTGGTTTTCATCACCGAAAGGCTTATTCGATGACGCCACTGCGTAATTCGATTCGGGCATGACTGATACTGGACGGTAACGGGGTGCCATACCCACAGTGCTGCGCTCCGACGGAGCGATTGAAGGGGCGTATCCAGTGTTGGGACGGAATGGGGTGCCGGACAGATTCGGCATGGGTGAGCCAGTCCTACGAGTTGAGATGTTGGGGTCCAGCATGCTCATCGTACGCTGATCAAATTGGGGTGGAATCGAGGGCGGCCCATTGAGAGGCATGGACATCGGCCGCAAGTTCGGGTTTCCACCCATGGGTCCTGCTATAGAAGGAGGGCCCATGGATGGCACGGGCATCCCTCCACCGGGCATCATCATAGGAGGCATTGGCATGCCTTGCATCATAGGCTGGCCCTGCGCGCCTTGCATTTGCATCATTTGCTGCATCCATTGCATTTGCATCTGCATCATGTTTGTCATCTGTTGTGACAGCTGGATAGAAGCTTGCTCCCCGGCGTTATAGTTTTGTTGCGGCATCATCGAGTATGGTCGAGGGACTCCGCCATTCTCCTGCATTGCTTGTGTGTTGGGGCTTCCTCTGCGCATCGCCCGCGCCCGCTCCTCATTTGCTATAACACCAACAAGACCTCCAGGGGGAGGTGCGGGGGACGAAGATCCTCCATATACCGAACCACCTCCGAATGCCAACGATTCGCGGTTGGGGTTGTTAACTAGACCTGCACCGAAGTAAGGGTCTCGCGGCAAGTTCCTTGCGAAAGGTGGCAGACTGACCCGGCTGCCGTTGGGATCGGCGCCCGAAACAGAGTTGGATGATGATATATACGGCGGTTGCATGGATGCACGAAGGTTGGGATTGGAGCTGACATTATTCAGGCGGGTTGGCGGGCGGTTCTGGCTGGGGAAACCGTGCGCGGCCAGAATACCGAGTGGTACATCGTCATCCTCCTCCTCGCTGCTCTTCCCACTAGTGGACCTCTCGCCTAGTGCAGACAGGCGACTTGGGTGCAAATTGAGCGTACTGCTGCTACCTCCGCTCATGACCGGTCGTAGCGATTGAACGGGTGCTTGCTGACCTGTGATCTTCATCATCTGCTGACGGTACACAGAGAGATGAGCCTCCTGCTTTCGCCGTTGGCGTTCCGTTTCACGCTGCTTCTCCAACTCATCCTGTTCATCTTCAGACTCCTCATGATCAGAGTCTTGATCGCTCTTAGTCGCATCGCTATTGGAACGTCGAAGTTCTTGTTGCTGGCGATAGTGCTCGAACTGAGATGGAGTCATCACCTTGTTACCTGGCGAAGTCGATTTAGGGATACTATCCGCGTACTGCACAGCCAACCGCGCGTGATCCACGATGGTGGGGTCCAATCTGTCGGCCGGACCGGGCGAACTGCGATATTGGAAAACATCATCATGTTCTGGGTTCACTTGGCCAGAGTAATTGGGTGCTTTGCCCTTATCAATCAACGGGGTTCCCCAAGATGGGCTGTCCTCAGCCCATGGCGAAGTGCTGTCTTTACTCCACAAGACAGATTTTCGGACCAGTTTGGCATCTTCGTCATCAAAGGGTGCAGATTCCCCCTTGGGTGAATATGCCCCACTCCTCCGCAGTCCTGCTCTCTCCGTTCCCTTCGGGCGCTCCAAAGAGCGATGTGTCGTGGTGGCCGCGGTAAATTCATTTGGAGACGGCGAAGGCTTGCGGAAACCAACAACTGGATCGAGAGTAGACTGGCTCTGGTTCAGCGGTGGAGACTGCGGGCCACGAAGCAAGCCCTCCTCTGACGGGCGACGATCCCAGGAGTAAGGGGGTGATTCGACAGCTGTCGATCGGTCTGTATTAATAGAGGGGGGCGCAGCAGCCCTGCTGGTCTGGAACTCAGGTAGAACATGCGTCGGCGGAGACGAGGAGTACTGCGATATTATCAGCACTGCATTCTTGCCTGGATGAATGAGTGCAGATCTTACCTTGGCCGGTTTAGGGGATGACCCCCGCATTGCTGAACCCTCTCTTGTACCCAGGTTGTCAAACATCGAATTGAAATCGTCCTGCGAGCCGAGGGCGAAGTCCGTATCTGGCAGCTTGGGTGGAGTGGCCGTGCTGTCGGTGCTGCCCGTCACCGGACGATTCTTTGCGGCATCGGGTGTTTGTTGCCGAGGTACCTGTGGCCCTGACTTGCTGAATCGCCCCCCGAACGAGAAAGTCCGTCCTGCGGCGCGTAGCGCACTGGATAGATGTGGTGGAGCTGGAACATCATGGATCCTAGAATGCGGGGATAGGTTGTCGTCGTGCGGAACCTCGGTGGATGATGGGAGGGTGGATGACGAGCTTAGCCTGGTTGACGTAGAACTTTCGTAGTAGCTACCATCACGGTTCCCAGTCAGCCGTCTCCTGAGAGAATCCATGGTCGAAGGGCGATCATACCGGCTCTTGTCCAGGGGTCGCTCCCTTTGGGCGAAGATATTATCAGAATCCTCCATCGATGGCCCCGTATTTCCCTCACTCAGCGGCTTTGTTAGCACCGCTCCATCCGTCATAGATCGATGAGGGCCCGGGCGCTCGAAAACTCGAAAGGAAGATTGAGGGGTTTCCACGTCCTCTAGAACGTTGCCGGACGATTTTCGCCTGGTAAAGCTCTTCGGCAATTTCATGGAAGCGGTTGACAGATGGTATTTGAATAACCTGCCAGTGTGTCTTTATGCGAGGTATCTCATTAAGCTTTAGTGTCGAATTGTGATGTGTCAAACGCAAGTGATCCAAATATAATAAACAAAGCAAAAGAATTAGGGGGTTAAGCTAAGAAAGACTTGAAGTTAGTCAGAAGCTTCTAGGGAGTGCAACACGGGTGTGTTTAGCGGCCGATCAAAGGCCCGGGCAGGAATCCACAGAAGTGGGTTGTCCGATCTGATGGCATCTCACAAAGATAATTATTTTTTTCCTTGCAGGGGGATTTGTTTTTTTTTTTTTTTGTTTGAAAAGGATTGAACCCACCAAGTGTCGGGAGCAAATTATGTCTCGTTTCAGTTTGGAAATAAAAACACCCAATAGAAAACTAGAGACGCGGGGAGTGGATAGGGACCGTATGAACCACTAAGGAGAGTAAAGAATGGAAAAAAATGAAAAGAGCGAGAGAGAGAATGTGTAGAAAGAGAGAGGCAAAAAAGAGAAGACGCTACTGAGAGTCTAGTTCCCTTTGGTGTCCGGAGTCCCAATATGGTCTGCTATCATACTATTATTAATTATTATTTCTCTTATTACTACCTAAAAAAAAATAATAAACACTTGGGTACAATTTCATGATCTCATAGGACTTCCAATGTGAAACCGTTTGCTATACATAGTAAGTGGAAAAATTCCTTTGTGGACTTCCTAAAAATAAACATAAGGCAAAGTGGAATGTGAGAATATTGGGTCTAGACATCTGCTTATAATATATAATATTAATAGAACAGATACATAAAGGTACTCCTATTACTTTATACATAGTATTCCTATACTTCGCCAGTTCAACACATGAAAATCCCACGCCGATCGGAAATCACGTGAAGTCGATCCCGATCGACATTCCAAAGTTGACACTTTTCATTGTATACCCGAGGTACTATGTAGATATCTACATCTGTGCAATCTACATACTCCGTATATACATTGACATTTCCAAAACAATCAAACAGGTTTGGATGTATCGGAGACTACCTTAGTCGGCTGATTTATCTTGTACAACCAATAGTCACACAGGACTCGACTGAGAAATTCGGAAGATGTACTACATTGGGATGAGAGAGAACATTGAACTCAAAATAACCGCAAATACATGGTGTCAAGAGATATCAAGCGCTGATATCAATACTCCATATTTCCAATCACACAAACACCTTCTCCCTCCCGCCTTTTATCACGGATTATAAGTTATCTTACAAAAATGGCGACTTTGCAATTTCAGTTCGGCCCATCATCTCAAATGGGTCAGCTCGCTCAGATTAGAATCAAGCCAACCGGGAGCTTATTTGGCAAAGTGCAGATCGTAGTTCAGCCACTTGCGCGCAGTGATGCCCGCCACATCAAGACCGGGGGTACCGTAGGTCAAGGGCGCATAGAAAATGAAGCCCCAGATGGTGGCAGCCAGAATTATAAGGGTGGCAATCCAGCCTGCGATGAGCGACTTGCAGCCCATACGTTCCTTGGCCGTGATGAATCGGCGCAGGCTGCTGACCGACCGCGCCTTGGACTTGCCTGAAGGGTCATCCACATGGGGAAGTGCAGTGCGAGGGTCAAGAGGCTGCAAGTTGAAAATAAATTCAATCAGGGCACCACACACCATGGTAGAAGCCAAATGCGAGGGCAGGTAGTGATGCAGGAAGCGCTGACGACCCATCAGCCAGAAGGGAAAGTAGTGCGCAGCCCAGCACAGGAACAGGAAGCCGGTGCTGTTGTACAGACGCGAGCGCGTACCAGGGCCCCAAACTGATGAAAGTGTGTTAATTATCGGAACAAAACGGATAAGAGCGAGGTGTTTGGTTTTTTCTGACTTACTTTCTTCCAATGCATCAACGCCACGGCGAAGCGAGAGCTGGTCAGCACCAACAATTCCGGCAAATACGGCCAGAAGACTGCTGGCAATCCACCATCCAATGGGGTTACCCAAGAAGTAGATCTGCTCACGAGTATCATTCTTAGTCCAGAAGCTCACACCGCGCAGCAGGAACGGCCACTGGAAGGGCTCGGTAGCATAGGGGTGACTGCTAGTCAGGGCGTTGTTGTGGTGGAACATGGCACCCTGCAGCTCGAAGTACTTGCGCAGGAAAGGCAGCGTCTTGACCTTACGCTCCGCCTTGATAAGACGAGGACTATCCTCCTCCAGGTTCTCGATGTTCTCAACGTACCACGCGTTGCTGGACTGGAGGATATTCTTGTTACCATTGATTTCGGCCTGCTTGTAACCCCACTCTGGCAGCGGGGTTGTGTGTGTCCACAAAGCGACCCGAGTGGGAACGTGAACCAACTTGAACAGGCTGGCAAGAGTACGGAACTCCTGGGCAGGCTTGCCAGACTCGATCTTAAGCTCGAATAGGGTGTCGTTGTGGCGCTCGCCATCAGCCAGTTCCTGAGAGACCGTAGTGAACTCCTGGTTGGTGGGGAAAAAGGGAGACGCAACATCATGGGTCAGGAGATAACTATCGGTTCCAATGTGACGGAGCTGGATGATGTCGCCGTTACGCACGCTCTTGGGCTCAGATAGATCAACCAGAGGCTCGGCCGGCAGGATCTGCCACTGGTTGTTGGTGTCGTTGTGGGGATAACCGGTGACCTGCTGGCCCTGGCTGGAAATACGGCCATCGTCATAACGCAGGGGGTACTTATCCCAGTGGCTGTGGAGGAAGACCTTGGTGTCCTTGTGGCGCATGGTAATGGTGTCGAAGTATTGAATGCCAACAGACTGAGCGGTCATCTGGTTGTCACTAAGAGTCTCCTGGAATTCGGGGGTCATGAAGTCGTCGCCGGGGCCAGACCGATTGAGAATAGCGAAGTGGACCTGGAACCAGAACAGGTAGAACATGAAGGGGATAACGACCAATCCAACAGCGCGAGCCATAAAGTGCTTGCACCAGTCGACCATGCTCAGCGCTCCTTGGTCGCGGTTGATATCCAAGAGGTTCCACAAGTCAATGAGCACTGCCGCGCCGATGGTCACGAAAGTGAAGAAACCGACGTATTTGGTGGAGATGACACAGCTCATACAGAAGCCGGTCAGTAGAAGCCATTTCCACCACTTCCGGCCAAACGGTTGATGGCGCAACTTGTAGAAGCGGACATAGCACAAAATGCTGAGTGCCATTGAAATCACGAGGGTCGCGTCCAAAAGGATCAGACGGTCCTCACCCACGTGGGCATTGTCAAAGACCATCAGACCGGCAGCCAACACACAAGCTGGCAGAGAGTAGCCAGATTCCCACATGATGAGGAACACCACGGGGATTGTCAAGGCACCGAGAGTAGCCGGCAGGGCACGGAGGGAGAGGTAGGGCACATTGTTGTCGATGTAAGAGTCGCCGATGTTCTCGAACAGGAAGCTTCCATCGAAGCCCACAAGCCAACCCACGAGGGCAAACAATAGCTTTCCAAAAGGAGGGTGCACATCGAAGAAATAGGTACGTTGAAGGTAGTAAGAAGCGAACTAGCCAAGTAATATCAGTGTTAGTCAAGGGCCCCTTTTCGTAGATTGTGTTGCCACAAGAGGCATTGGACCTGATACCTTGCCGAAATGGACCTCGTCGAATACGACCTCGTTAGGGTAATCGATGCGGTAGAACCGTGTCGCAAAAGCCAGGAGGGTGAGAATCACTATGGCCAGCCAATAGTCCCATTCCGACTTCTGTTTGACCGGCACCGACACGGGAGTCGTCGCGCCACTATCAGAGGGCAATGCGGTTTGGACATCCTTCTTTCCGCCTCTCTTCCGCAGAGAGGGCGAAGGGGACGACATGTTGAAAATATGAAATGTAGAGAGCGACCGAGAAACTACCTATAGCCAAATAGACTGCCGAGGGATGTCAATAAAGGATCAACAAAGCAGAAAAATACCGCAATAAAGAGGGATATGAAGCTTACCAGAATCACCAAATAAGCATGGCACCCAACAATTGAGGCCAAGAAAAATATGAGAAAGGAAAGGAGATGTGGAGGGGATGGTGTGTTTAGTAGAGCGTTGCGTGTCTTCTTTCCGGCAGGGCGGTGGCCCCGGGGCGCCTCAGCGTATACAAATCCACTCCAACTCCTTGTTTGATATTGGACTGTCGAGTCCAGTATCGAGTATTCAAAGGAATTAGAGTTATATTTTCTTATTGATTTTCCCATACAGTGTCCTATACCATTATTTTCATGCGGACTATTTCATGTAAAGGGCTTTAGAACACCGATATCATCTCTCTTTGACCACATTTTATTGGTTTTCGAATATTCTTATTGGACAAATGTTTCCACATAAAGCTCTTGTATATTCTCGTTTAAATGACTCGACTAGAGTCTTGCTACTCCGCAGTGGACAAAGAGTCTCCCTTGACCCCTGTCAAGGTCCACCAAATCTGGTCTAGACAGTGCCGAATGCAAATATATATCCAAAGTTATACTTGGAAAACACCATTTCACAAAGCGTATTTCCGCCTTTTTGCCATAATCTACAAAACTGATACGTTATTAGATAGAATAAGACGAGAGAAGACCACTAAAAAGATATTACAGGGCTGCTAATGCGACTAGCTATTCTTATAAATATATAGATAAACAGATTAACGCCTTTCATCTGTCTCAACCTCTCGAATGACAAGCCACAAAGCCTTTTTAAAAGAAGCTTCTTCCTGTTTGGTCTCTTGAGTATAGCCCTCGCCTCGCCTACCCATACCTCTCCTCTCCTGATCACCCGACTCATTATACTTCTTCAACGAGGCGTTGAACCGCGTCAACTTAGACTTAGAAGACCAAGGCAATATCTCAAATTCAAGCTCAGCAATCCAGGGCTGCAAAGTGCCAATCCTCTGCTGCAAACTAAGCTCCTGCTGCTGCCTTTCATCTGTCCCAGCGTTGGCCATGGACACCTCGTTCTGAAGTTGTAGAAACAGAGGCGATTGCCGATTGATTTTGCCCTGAGAATCCAATATAGGTATTTTTGCGACATGTGCCAACGCATCCAGCTTTGCAATTTCAACTCTCAAGCCGCGTGGACCGAATATGTCCTTATTAGCTCTTTTGATAGACGAGTCCGTCCGGCTTTTGGCCATGCCTTGGCTGCTCAGATTTGCGAGCCCGCTGACAGCGGATCCAATCCAGTGCAGCGGGAATAGGATCGGGACGGAGTTCAAGATCCCGCCTGTTGCATCTAGGACTTGGAGGGGCGGACTGGCGGCTATGTCCTTGTTCAGTTGGTCGAGGAACGCGAGGAAGGATTCCTTGGGGAGTTGGTGGTTTCTCAAAATTGGTGGATATGCGCGGATGAAAGGAGAATCAGAGGGGGAGGCGATGGCTGGAATTGCGATTGGTTTGTGGTTTGTTTGAGAAGGGGTTTCTTGTACTGGTGGTGATTGGTTTGATTGTATCGAGGGTCCTGGAGCTGTGTATGCTGGAGGATGATCTGCTGCCTCTTCCACATAAGAGCGTCCCATGTCCTCGAAGGGTTTTTGTTTTGTTTCATTCATTGTGGGAGAAAATAAGCTGGTTCTTCAAATGTTCTCATGCCGGGGGGCCGACATCCTTTTAAGTCTGAAAGTGGGGTGGAGTGAGCTCAGCCTTGGATTCTAGGGGTTGCTTGGATTGGTTAGAGTAGATTGTATGTGTATATGGAGTCCTATGTACATGAATGTAGGCGTCCATGTTTATAAAAATAAGCCTTGACTTAGCCACATCTGGGCAGATCTTCCTATGGGTTTTGGGGGCTGCGCTACGCCTTATCGGGAATCCTGTGCGAGATAGCGTAATATCTCACCTCAACTCACTTAAGTAATGTATGGTTTCATTGGCTATATGTTCGACGAAATGCCCAAAATTCACTCCCAATAATGCTGTCAACATATGCAAAACGGATTGGCCACGAAAAATATGAACCCCAAATGTCATGCAAATCTTATGGTTCATGGGTATCACTTAAGCATCTGGCCTTAATCATCATCCGAAATATTCAAAAGTTCCAATTCCATCGACACCAATGCCTGGAATTCTGCCCGTGGCATTCCAGTAGCTTTTGCCAATCGGAACAAACTCTTGATACTCGTACCAATATGCTGTTTCACTCCCACTTCGTATGTGGACTGGCTCTCTGCCTCATGTTCTAGTTTGGCAATAGCCTGAGTGCTACCAGAAGATGCAGAGTCCGGCCGTGGGTGGTTCAAGTCTTGTGCAGCCTTATCATTGGGTATATGGTTTGGAGAATATCCGTTGGTGCGAGGTTCATCCTCTGGGTTGACTCCGTTCACCTGTCGCCGCAAGAGACTGGCCAGCATATCTCCGTTGAGCGATGACGGACCAACCTCCGGTTGCTCCTCCGTGGGATCATGATTGTCCATGGCCGGCTGCACGTCACCGTACTGTGAGAAATATGACTGCTCAGATAAGCCAGATGGACCTGGCTGTGATGAACCGGCACGAGGTGCGGGCGTCTTGGCTCCGGGTGTGGAGTCGTACTGAGCCCAGTAGTCATCGTCCTCGTCGTTCTCCGCGATGTTCTCCTGGGCTTTCTCTTCTTCGGCGGCCTTTAATGTATCAGCCAGCAGCTGGTCCTTCGCTTGAATATTTGCCTCTCCGATGGATGAAGCCCAGGTATTGTCATCCTCAGCAGCTCCCTCCCGCGGCAAAAGCTCTGCGACTCGCCAGCCACGACCACCTCCCTCCTCGTCTGTCGGGCACCACAAATAGACCACTGTCAAGCTGAATTCGGTGAGTGGAACCTGTGCTTTGAGAGTCTCATCGTCGACCCGTTTGTATGTCACAGGAAGTTCATCCGGAAGCTCAATTTCGCCCGATACAGGGTGTGGTTCAAAAGTGGCACCGTCAATTAATCTCTGCAGACGTTCTGCCTTGGCAGCATCCCAGCACAATAATTGTAGCCATGACTCAGTAGAAGATGTGGATAACGAGCTGAGAACTCCGACTCTTTGGCGCAGAATAGGGGAGAGAAGTGGCAACAGAGCTGGTGGTGCGCGGGGCGAGACAAAGGCTAGTGGGAGGCATGCGAGGAGGGGAGGAAGTAGTTCCCGAGTTTCCGGTGGGTTGATAAGTTCGACCATAATTGCTATAGGCTTAGAATTGAATAGAGAGAGAGGAAGAGAGAGAGGAAGAGGAGAAGGGAAGTCCAAAGAGTGTTTTGCAAGCTCTCCATTCGACCGAACGTGGGGCAACAAACAGAGCAATCACCGGGCCGTAAAGCTTACCGCGTTCTATCGGCCTTTTATATCTGCACCTTTGCACGTGGAAGTCTACATTTCTTCGATTGTATTTTTCTATATCCTTACAGTCTCACATTTACATATGTCTATCGGTTCTCTGTTTTCCATGTTTCAGATCCTTCACTAATTTAATTCTAACCTGGACTGAGCATCTAAAATAAACTCGCCGACTTTCAAAGATTTCCTTGTCCCACATTCCAAGGTTCCACATTCTTTTAAGCTGTCAACCCGATCGGAGTAGAATCAGCCGGCCAATTTAGAATTCGGTACAGAAATACGGGATACTGCAATACATCAACTAAGTCGCCGAACCGACGTCGGCGAAAAGGAGAGACAGTAATGGCCACGTTAGCGAACTTGGCGTACATCATCTCATTATAACATACTCGATAGAAAAGGGGGAGCGGAAAAAGATAGTAAATAGAGCTATAAAGGTCTCCCTATACGGAGTATGGTCTCGTGATTTCTGTTTGGTCATGTGGTAGCCTTCTCAGATATACTTTTAGGTGTCTTTTTGTAGGTATTTTCTCCCCCTTCTCTTTTTATGAGTAGTTGAGATAAGAGTATGGCAAAAGTAAATTGTGCAAGCGACTTAGTCATGTATAACCTGTGGCAAGAATAGTCGGCCGCTTATATGGCCTTGTGATGTTAGATTTTCCATTAAGATATCTTGTTAGTTGTATAGGCAGACGGCAGAAATGGCGGGAAAAGGCTTAATTTGTGAAAACGACTTTTCCTTACCTGTGAAAATCCGAGAAGAGCAAGGATTAGACAGACAGATTATTTAGCTGGAATGTGAGAATGGAGATTGGATGGAGAAACTAGAAGCCGAGATCCACCTGATCGACATCAATACGGAGATAACGGAGATAATTCCGATCTTCTATTCCAGTTTCTCCCCAAGCTTTGGACTTCCGTATCACAATCCTTAATCCCTTTCAAAACATTCCCCTTGGCTACTTTTGAACGACGCATCTCCATCGCGGTTATGAGCACTTCGTCTCCTCCCACTCCGCCATCAAGGGCCTTAATAGATGACGAACAGAGATTCAAAACCATTACATTACCTTGTGAGTGGGTGGAGGATTATCGGCCAGGTGGTTATCATCCAGTCGTTCTCGGCGACGTCTTAAACCACCAGTACAAGGTCATCCGGAAGCTTGGCGAGGGCTCCTACTCAACGGTTTGGCTCGCCCATGACCTAAAGTAAGTCCATCTTTCGCATTCTACTACCGACGCTATATATCATCGTTACTCATTTCGTTTAGTAACAGTCGATATGTCGCCCTAAAGATACTTGTGTCGGAAATCTCGGAATCAACAACTGAGCTACGAATATTACGCCATATCATCGAATACGCACTAGAAGAAGGGTCCCGATATATCACGCGATTACTAGACGACTTCGAACACCGCGGACCCAATGGCCTCCACAAGTGCCTAGTACTTGAGCCTATGGGCCCGAGTGTTAATACGATGGTCGAGGAGCTGCCGCAGTTTAAACCTCGTAGGCGAGGAATGAAGATTCGCTATCCGCTTCAGATGGCAAAGAGTATCCTTAAGCAATCCTTACAGGCTCTTGCATTTCTATATGAAAATGGTATTGCCCATGGAGACTTCCAGCCGGGAAACATACTCTTTCCTCTTATCGATGTCGACTCCACCCCTGAGGAATTGCTCCTACAAGAGGAAGATGTGCAATCCCGGTCGATCTCGCCTCCGGTACAGAGGCTAGATGGTAAACAAGATAAATGGGCGCCTCAATATCTTTGCGTTGCGCAGCCACTGGTGCACTTTACTTGCTACGCCGAAGGGTTTAAGGTCAAATTATCCGATATGGGCGGTGGTCAGTCCCTCTATTCCTTTTTCTTGACGAATATTAATACTCACACCTCAATTCCCTGGACAGCTTATTTCTTTACCGACCCACCAACAAAGCCCGTTACTCCACTCGGTCTTCGAGCTCCCGAGTTGATTCTTACCGGAGCTGTCAACAATACCGTTGATATCTGGAGCTTCGGTTGCCTTATTTTTGAGCTAATTACCGGACAGCCACTCTTCTGTGTACCATGTTCCGAGATGGAAGATGACGATCATCTTCTCTCCCTCACTGCCCAGCTCGGTGCCCTCCCCGACGAGTTATTCAGGCATTGGACAACCTCGTCGCTCTACTTCACGCCCGAGAGGAAGCTCTTTAATTCTCAGCTTGGAGGAGTCGCTCCCGGGGAGGAACCGCTTATAGTGGAGCAGACGTCCATGGAAGAGTGCTTCGACCGGGCAGGCCCGGATCTCGATGAGGAGGAAGCTAACAAAGTGAAAGCGCTTATTCGATGGATTTTGCAATATGACCCCGGGAAGAGACCTTCGCCTACGAAAATCTTATCAGATCCATGGTTTTGCGAGATTGACGTTGAGGACGACCCATCTAAGTAGTAAGGTATCTATAGTCTAGTATCCTGCGTGGCTATGAGGAAGATATCTAAGTAGGCTGCATGTCGTTTCGACGAGAGGACAGCGTAATGAATCACACAAACAAACATACCGTATGAAACATAGTAATTGTAGGATAATGATGACCATCTTGCTGACTGATGTTTGTATCCACTAATATTGTGCCAAGCACTACTCCGTACCTTGTATCTTATAAGCAAGGTAATGATTAGAAGCGGAATTAATTCCATATGGCGCACAATATTATCTTGCCCTGGTTTCTTCAACACGAACTATCTCGGTCAATATCAAACTCCCTTCTCTATAGCCTCTAGCCTATTCCAGTCCAACCCCCAAGCTTTGAGACGTCCTTCTTATTCAGCTATATCTCTATAGATACGTTTCTTTAACCCTCTATCTCTTTACGTGATCTCTCGTGGCTTCTGGGTTGTGACTGGTGGTCTCGGGCCCCTCCAATTCGGGCCCTCGAAATGTTGATCAAGATGGGTTTGGTCCAAAGGTTCTAGGCCTTGAATTGTGGAATTGGCTATGTCGGGTATTTTCTTCATTGGGTAATCCTCTGCTGCAACTGAGGCGTCCAAGAGTGACAAGAAAATGATTTAGCCAGAAATGGATTGAAATCTCTTGAAGTGTAAAATGGAATTTTCAATAATGAGTTAAGGCCCTATTCATATAGTGTCCGTGATATATTTGGGAGAGGGGTGGTCTCGTTATCTCGCGGGGCAAAAAAATGCGAATTTGGAATGTGCGCGGTCAGATATCTCTTCGCGCGTCGAGGGAAATTGACAATTGACCGTAGACTTAGCTTGTCTTAGCTCTATAAACTCCAAAAAAATGTTTCTGAATTGTCAGAATTGTCAGGATTGATAATCCGAGCCACATGCACGCTAAGACGCGCACTACTCGGCCGGCTTCTATCACATTCTTATCCTGGGGAAAAACAAACGAAACATTGCATCCCCACAACTCGTTACACATCTATATAAATTGGGAATCGGTCTGATTGTTCAGACAATTAGTTCAAATGAGCGACCCAGAGAAGGGCCAGTTCTCGCTCACTTTGACACCCGCCCAAGAACCGCTTACCCAGGAGCCAAAGCCGGAAACTACCGATGTACAGCCGGATAGTGCGTCCGATCAGGCTCCTCTTGAAGATGGTCGAAGCGATCTCATTTCGCAGCGCGGGGATGAGTGGGCCGCTCTAGAGAAGCGGGTACGATGGAAAGTCGACCTCCGTCTCTGTAGCATCGGTGGGCTTTTATGCAGTCTCAATTTACTAGACTCGGGCATTTTATCCTCGGCCTCGGTGACGACTATGCTCGATGATCTTAACTTGAACCAGGGGAACCGGTACTCAGTCTCTATCTTTATTTTCACAATTGCCAGTGTGGTCTTCCAGCTGCCGTGCACTGTGGCAGTTCGCATCATCGGTCCACGCATATGGTTCTCGACAATCACCTTTACGTTTGGCCTGTTGACACTATGCACTGCGTTCGTTCGTAACTGGCAGCAGATGATCGTCCTCCGTGTGCTGCTCGGTATTTCCATGTCTGGTATTTACCCTGGTCTGACCTACTTGGTTAGCGCCTGGTACCCGCGACGAGAGCAACAGCTCCGATTTGCATTCCTGCAGTCTGGGGAAGTTGTCATTCTGGCGACTGGCAATATCGTCAATTTCGGTCTCAATCATTTGAATGGCGTGGCCGGGTTAGCGGGCTGGCGCTGGATGTACATCGTCCAGGGTCTCATTACTTGCGTTCTGGGTTTCGTTACCTACTGGTGGATGGTCGACTTCCCCGAGAACTCCCAACGCAGCTTTTGGTTTCTGTCGGACCAGGAAGCACGTATCGCAACGCGCCGAATCCAGGATGATCGAGCTGATGTTATCCCGGAACCATTTTCCTGGGGAACGCTTCTTGCTAACTTCAAGGATCTGAAGATCTACGGCTTTGCCGTTATGTTTTTCTTGCTCAATCTCATCTCGACTGCCTTGTCGTACTTCTTACCCATCATTTTGCAATCGGGTATGGGATTCAGCTCAAATAAATCCATTCTGCTTTCTACACCGGTAAGTTGATTCAGAGTATAAAATGCCGCATTTTCTCACTATTTCGCTAGCCCTACTATTATGCTGTGATACCGGTTATTCTCACATCACTCATTGGAGATTTCTACCGCGTTCGTGGGCCACTGATCGTCTTTAATGCCCTTGTCCTCATAGCTGGGTTCCTGATGTTCGGTCTTCCCGCATCCAACCTCGTGACAGTACGATATATCGGTACCTTTTTGGCAACCGGCGCTTATATCTCTAATTGGGCTGCCCTCAATGCTTTCCAGGCCAACAATGTCGTGGGCCAGTGGAAACGAGTGGTCACTGCGGCGGCGGTCACTGCATGTAACGGACTTGGAGGTGTGGCAGGAAGCTATATTGTCCGCCAGCAAGAAGCGCCGCAATATCTTACCGCAGTTTGGGTGTCAATTGGGTAGGTGTAAGATTTATTGAACCTTGGGCTGCTGGCTGACCCCATTTCTAGTTCCCATATTCTTCTCATTGCAATCGTGGGTGCATTCACAGTTTACTTTTACATTGCCAATCGGCAGCAAGGACGGGGATCAAAAGTTCTTGAGGGTGTGGTGAGTACTTTTACCAATGCTCGGTCAAATGGATATAATCTTGCTAACGAATAAAATCCAAAAGTCTGGCTTCAGATACACCTATTGACGAAATTCAAATACGAAAACTCATCAGCTTATATTCATTCCATACACATACCTCTTTCATAGCCTTCAGTGTTGTGATATGTAGATACATGGTTCACGACAAGCCAAGTTACAATTTTTGGGGTTTTTAGCGTCACTTTCATCCAACAACTAATTGATATCGCATTCTATCTTTAGCTCATTTATTACATATTGATAGATATAGAGTGGCTTATATATGATTTGCTGCAACACTTTGATGAGTGTTACCGACCTCCTCGCCCACAAGGATAGACCATCTCTGATCCTCCAAATCCGCCAAGGAGGAAGGTAGGTAGGGACGGCGAGCTACTCAATGGACCGGTCCAGAACGAGCAATACATTCCTGGCTTCCACCTTTTGTGGTGATTTCCTCAAATACCAGCCATGGTGTTGATCTCTGTGAGGCTTGTACCGAGAGAATCTTGAGTGAAAACACCGGGGGATGACTTTAGTGAAAAGCGGCCAAATGCTGATAATGCAAGCGGCGATAATGATCAACCCGCCTTCAACGATCAGTAGGATACCAAATTTGGTTACGAACCCTGGTTTGATATAAATCAGTCCTGATTTCAATACAATTCAGGGATTGGTTCTTACACGTTGGGTCATCCATGGCGAAATCTGATTTAGAGATTGAATATACCGCCATTTTCAAGATTCTGGCTACATTTCTACTAAATGCTTCCATTAGTACGGATCATGACATATTTTGAATAACTTACAATCCACCCAACAGGAAAACACCCACCACGGCGAGTCTCTGTGCTAGAGGTGCATGCAATTTCCACACAGCTGGAATAGGCATATCAAGGATTAATATACCAGAGAGGATATTGAATGGGGAAAGAATTTCATAAGCGTTGACTGGATGAATGCATTGGGAATAAGAGCCATTCCAAGTTTCCCCTGCTTCAAAGGGATTTTTGAAAGCTATGCGGATTCTTGTCGAACTGGCTCTGTCGCTCATTCCTTCTATTACGGCAATAGTATTCCTACATTTGGGTACTGGAACTTCAATTTCCTCTTCTAATGTAGGAAACAGTCTGCATCTGGTTGATTGCTTGGCTTCCCCGGATTTTCCTTCGTTTTGGGTTCTAGACTCGAGGACTTACATTTCGGAGACTTTCGAATTAGAAATACAATATCTAATAAAGCATTGTTAACTAGTTGACCTCCTTCAACTTGATTCTCGGGGGATAAAAATAAATCCCTGTATCCCCATGCACTGGCTCCGTAACAAAATTTAGATACAATAGGGCCAATATGGATCTGGTTTGCAGATTTGGCTGTCTATTAAGAGCTGTTCGACACGATTGAGGAGACAATGGATCCTTGGAAGCAACATATCCCACGTGCGTAAGGTGGCGTCTGATAAGGTTGGGTCTCGCACGAGGTCTGTTCCGCGTTTCCGTGTATTGAACGTTTTCTAGGTAGGTTCCAAGGTTCTCATTATGCATAGTTGTCATATCTATGGTACAATTCGTGATTGTAGTTGTTCATGAAAAGAGATCCAGGAACATAATGACGTTTTTCCATTGTAATGGCGATGAGATACATACACATGCACAGATTTTGCGATCGAAGGGAAAGGGGTATATGGCAAGCAAGATGGGGGCGACCTCGCAGGGAAAAAGGTAGACGGGGAAGGTCGGCCCGCAAAAGAAAATTACATCCGACAATCATTGGAAAAGACACAAGCCCTTGGAGTGGCAATCTAAGCTGCTCGATCCTTGTCTTTCTGTTCCAGCTTTCCCACAAGCCGCTTCATACCCGTCCACTCGTCAGCTGGGACTTCCTCAGGCAGCCCACAGAGACCCTTGCCAACCTCAAAGACTGTAACAACGCCATTGAGGCCACCGGTTGCCAGACGGCGTCCTTCACGCTCATCCCACGCAACCTTATTAAGACTTCGGGACATGATGTTGCCGTGGGTATTGTCAACAAATTCACGCGCAACTGGCACTTCGGTATCTGAAGCGAGATCCCAGACTTCGACGTTGCCGGCACCGTCGACCAGAGAGAACACACCAGGTCGGGTTGGGTGCCAGCGGGCATCGTAGACAACATCATCACGGGTAATGTCGAGAATAGGTGAGACGACTTGGGATTGAGCCAGGCCAGATGTGGCAGAGGCAGTTGTGGCAGGCGGCCGCACACGCCATAGCTTTACGCTCCAGTCAAGACTGGAGCTAAGCATAAGATCGCCAAGGTCCACTGGTCCACGACCGGGGTGGAATTCGGTAGACATGATTGGCGCCGTATGTCCCTTGTAGGCTAGACGGTGATCTGTGCCGGACTTGGCTCCGGCACGATCGTATCGGTGGCACGGGTAGATGGCACCTTCTTCAGTTCCGACGATGAAGAATGTAGGATCAGTGTGGGGGAATGACATGGTGGTTGGAGCGAGGTCCTCAGTCTTAGATGGGGGAGGTGTCGTCAATTCCACACGATCTTGTGGGTAAGAGAGCATATCCATCGTCCAACCACAGACAACACCGTCCGTGGAGGCGGTCATGATATTGTGTGCATTCTGTGTGCCAACAATCGAGATGCTATAAACGGGATGGGCGTGTCCGCCGCCTGATAGGGGGGTTTTCTGTACCGGAGAGCCTCCGCCGGCGCGCGAGGAACGAGTGTCCCATACAAGCACCTGTCCAGAATAGGAGCCTCCAACAACAAGGTTTGGGTGGTAGGGAGAGAATTTTGCGGTGAGGATATCGGATGTCGAGTGGAAAACATATTCCGGACGAGATTGCAAGTGTTGGTTCCAGATCTGAACAAGGCCATCGGGTTCGTGAGGAGCGGAAGTATTCTTGGTGTATGATGCAAGCAACAATTCAGGGAACTGAAGTCAAAGTTAGCATGAGCCAAAGTCCATTTATTGAAAGTTGAAAGCTTACCTTGGGAGAGAAGCTTAGATCACTGATAATACGATTCTTGCTCCATCTTTCGTCCCAGAAATGGCACACTTCTTGCATTCCTCTCCTTTTCTTGCCAGTTTCCTCGTCTTCTTGCAGATGCCCGTCAGTTCCACCAAGCTCGTAGTCCGCCAGTACGTCATAGTCTTCATCTAAAGCTCGCTCGATGACCTTCGAAGAGCGCTCCACAAAGTCTAGGAAATCGTCTGACGATGTGACCGCCTTCAGCTCGTCGTCATCGAGTTTGCGTAGAGGATACCGTAGCTTGGTGGATTGTGCAGTTGGGTTCTCAATATTATCGGCCTGCTTGGTAGCTTGAAGCTCGTCCTCAATTTCCTTGCGAAGTTTCTGTCTGATTTCCTCGTCTCGTTCCCGGTCTCGTCGACTGAAACGCTTGCTCGACCGTGTAGTGCCAGGTGACTCCTCATCGTCCGAAGCGACAGACTCTTCAGGAGTCTCCGGCTGTAAATCTAGGCCATCTGTTTGCACGGCCTTGCTATAAGTGACAACTTCGGGTTTGGGTGCGGGTCTGTATTCGGTTTCAAGTTCAGGGGCCTGCGGGGCTTCCGTTGCAGAGGAAACCCAAGGCTCGTCTGTTGTCTGGACGGCAATGGATTGTGATTGTGGTCGCGATGGAGCTGCATATGTATCTACATTCTCCCCGCTTAATTGGCTTGCGCTCAACACGGAGGTTGGTCGACTTCCTCTCCGCGACTGGCCATCGGCGCCGTGGCTAAGGGAGGCCGACGCTGGACGATCGACCAGGCGAGAGATCAAGTCATCGAGGTCGTGTCTAGTATCTGCGCGGCTTGGTACTGGTGAGATAATCTAGCAAAGTTGTTAGGCCCGGACAAGCTCCATAATTGATTCACATGCCGCGTTTACCTCTGAAGCATCACCGACGCTGGTTCGGGAAGTGAATTCCTTCTGACGTAGCTCACGCTGCTTTTTGAGCTCGGCAAGCTTGGCCCGCTTCGCGAGGATCTCATCCTTGCGCTGTTGCATCGACATCTTGTAGAATCATAAACGATTTGACCAGATGTATCCGCGTCCAAGTGTAGTACCTCCACTGCGGGTTTATTTACGGGGATGACTAAGCCCGGTGTTCGGGAACTCTGGAGCGGCCCGGAAAAACTCGCGCGCGCAGAACATGAACTGAACCTCGCCATTTGACTAACCCGGAGATTCATTGCCATTGACGGTTGACACCTGTTGTACGGTCCCTCCTTCTTACGATTTTAATTCCCTCATTTAATTCCCGTCTTCCGGAAACCTCGCACAAATGGCTAGCCAAGGTGTCAATGTGAGTACCGGCTAAGGGATACCCTCTCCCCCGACGGTTGTTAACCACGTCTACAACCTACAGGTCCTCCGTTACTCGGCCCTCGTTGCCGGTCTCGTTTACGGTGTCTACCACCAGTCCTCCCTCAACTCAGTGACCAAGCGCGCCGAGATTGAGCACGAGTATGCTCGCAAGGAGCGCCTCATCGAGCAGGCCAAGGCCGAATACAGGAAGAAGACCCAGCCCCAGCAAGAGACCAAGACACAGACCAGCGGACGTACGTTCAATCCCCTCCGATGACTCGACTCGGATAAATACAACGACATCCGGAGTAGCCGCCTATCTCCACAAACTCTAAGTACTGACAAAATCCTATAGTTATCACAAATTTCGAGGATCCCAAGTTCGACCTGGAGGCTTTCTTGAAGGCCAAGGCTGGCGAGTAAGGGTTATGGATGGTATAGAGGAGGAATGATACGCAATGATCTCTTTGCGGGAATCGCACCTCCCCCAGGGTATTAGATGCGTTTTGCGCGACTCCGCTCCATTTTATTGTACGATTGTTTGGGTTTAATATGCCCCCGAGCTGTGGCATTGCGAGCGCAAGATGGAATGATTTTTGTTTCTCATTTTTAGACGTTTTATCTGGGTCCTGTACATACCCTGGGCAGTCGTGCGCCTGTACACTACAGTTGGACCACAAGCAAGAGCAAAAGATCGTGTTATGCATTCCGGTGTTACCAATGGTCCTAGTAGCACACACCAGACCAATTCTTGGTTTGGCATTCCTCTGTCCTCGCATCTCCACGTCCTAGAAGAGGATGTTTCCGGTACAACGTAGCCATCGGACAGAGGATCGTATCTATTAAATAACTTGTATTGATTTCCCAGCGAATTTAACCTGCACGCGTTCCTAGCATTGCCATTGCCTTGCGAATCCCATTGGAAGACTGAGGCTCCACGGGCGATACGACGATAGGCTTAGGATACAACAACTTTGATTCCGGATCCCATGTCCATCCACATTTTGTGAAGTTCGATATTATGTTGGAATCTTCCTGGGTGGCGAGTTGTTCATCAAGGCCAAGATAGGTTGCAGCTGTAGCTAATCGTATGGCTTCGTAAGACCTGCTCACTGCGATCAAGGTCTTGTCTTGGAAGAAGCCTAATTGCAGAATAATTGGTCAATTTGAGGTCTTGCCAAAAGAAGAAGCTCATAATAATGGAGAGCTTACTCTCATATCTCCGAACCAATGGCTGCAAAACGTCTGGCCATGGTAGCCCTCGGAGTATCTGGTAGACCTGGCCGTGTTGAGTCTGCCATACGGCTCGCAGTAAAGTCAAGCAGTTCTGTAGAGAAGGATCCTGTTGCAGTAAAGCTTCAGGAATTCGTTTTGTTAAGGCACGAGCTTCAGATCTGGGACCGAGGCTTCATTAGCAAACATCAATAGCACTCTCACTAAGCAACTCACACTTGATCGGTAAGAAGATGGACGAGAAAGAAGCTCGTGTAGAACAGGCTCAATAGTGTAGAGTCACCACCAGTAGACATGAGGCATGCTTGAAGCTCATATCGCGACAGGGCCTCGAAGAGCTGTGATGGTGGAGCGTTGGAGGCTACCAGCTGCGAAAGCACCTCCAAGGTCAGCGGAGGAAGCTCCATGTTGTTATGTGAGGTGTAGATAGATTGTAAATAGTTGGTTTTGCTGTAGGAATACCAGTTCACTCAATGATCGTAAAGATATTGAGTCAAAAGTTAGTCCAAAAAGCTTCAAGCAAAGATCACTGATGAGTTGTAGTATTGCGGGGAGCAATCGGAGGTGACGCCTCTCGCCGGTGCCAAGACCTTCAGAAGTGACCACCTTGCGCAGCTCTTGCTCTTTACCATCTCCTTACGGCACTCACCACTGGCATCTCAGCCCAATTCATTCCTTGAGTTCATGTTTCTATTTTGAGTTTCTGACTCTGGACTTTGCTCCTTTTTCAAGGCCATCATGGCCCCGTCTTCGCTTGATGTTGTGCTGAAAGGCAGCTCCGGCCGGAACACACGCGGTCTATTGCGGGTTATCATTCTTTGTACCATTGCCGCCGCCGCAGTGTCCAGCCGCTTGTTCAGTGTTATTAGTATGTTTCAATTGCCATTCTTGATGATCAATATGCTAACTATCTTCTAGGATTTGAAAGTATCATCCACGAATGTATGATTTCCCTGCGCTGCTGCATTAGATGCGATGGCCACCTCGACAGCATCATACGAATGTGATATTGATACCGTTTTACTCTAGTCGATCCGTGGTTTAATTTCCGTGCCACAAAATATTTGGTCGAAAATGGCTTTTATAGCTTCTGGGATTGGTTTGATGACCGTAAGGCCCCTTCCCCGTGATTGCACATCATCCACATGATAGTACAAATGGCATTGTGCTGATTTGGAATACTCGTGCTACAGGAACATGGCACCCTCTTGGTCGTGTCACTGGTGGTACACTGTACCCTGGCCTGATGGTGACCAGCGGCGTAATCTACCACATCCTTCGTCTCCTTACCATCCCCGTTGACATTCGAAACATCTGTGTCATGCTCGCCCCGGGGTTCTCTGGGCTGACGTCCCTGGCGATGTATCTCCTGACCTCTGAGATGTCCCACTCTCCCTCCGCAGGTCTTCTGGCCGCTGCTTTCATGGGAATTACACCCGGTTACATCTCCCGGTCTGTGGCAGGCAGCTACGATAACGAAGCCATTGCCATTTTCCTGTTGGTGTTCACATTTTACCTCTGGATCAAGGCTGTGAAGAATGGCTCGATCATGTGGGGAGCTTTGACTGCATTGTTCTATGGTTACATGGTTTCGGCTTGGGGTGGATACGTCTTCATTACCAACCTGATCCCTCTCCATGTCTTTGTTCTTCTGTGCATGGGCCGATATAGTGCCCGCGTCTATATCAGCTACACCACCTGGTATGCCCTGGGAACATTGGGAAGCATGCAGATTCCCTTCGTCGGTTTCCTGCCTATTCGCAACAGTGACCACATGTCTGCACTTGGTAAGACCTTATTATTCTGAGCCATACCATCATCTCATTCTAACTATCTAACAGGTGTCTTTGGATTGCTTCAATTGGTGGCATTTGCCGAGTTCATCCGAGCCTACCTGCCCGGCAAGCAGTTCCAGAAGCTCCTCACCTCTATGGTCTTGCTGACATTCGGTCTTGGATTCGGTGGTCTTGTCCTACTGTCAGTCTCTGGGGTTATTGCTCCCTGGAGTGGTCGTTTCTACTCCCTGTGGGATACCGGATACGCCAAGATTCATATTCCTATTATTGCCTCGGTTTCTGAGCACCAGCCCACCGCCTGGCCTGCCTTCTTCTTTGACCTGAACTTCCTTATCTGGCTGTTCCCGGCCGGCGTGTTCATGTGCTTCCAGAAGCTGAAGGATGAGCATGTCTTTGTGGTCATCTACTCGGTCCTTGCCAGTTACTTCGCCGGCGTTATGGTCCGTCTGATGCTAACCTTGACCCCCATTGTGTGTGTTGCGGCTGCTCTGGCCTTGTCTACTATTCTCGATAATTTCCTGGTTGCCTCAACCCCAACCCCCCCAAGCACCGAAACCGAAACCAAGGCTAAGGCAACTGCGGAAGATAAGTCACTCCGCTCGACCCGGGACCCCGTTGTCGGTATCTACTCCTGGTTTTCCAAGTCTACCGTGGTAGCCTCGGTCACTCTTTACCTGCTTCTGTTTGTTGCACACTGCACCTGGGTTACTTCCAACGCATACTCTTCCCCCTCTGTGGTTCTGGCTAGCAAGCTCCCTGATGGAAGCCAATTCATCATCGATGACTACCGTGAGGCCTACTACTGGCTCCGCCAGAACACCCCGGACAATGCTAAGATCATGTCCTGGTGGGATTATGGATACCAGATTGGTGGTATGGCCGACCGCCCCACTTTGGTCGACAACAACACCTGGAACAACACCCATATTGCCACCGTTGGCAAGGCAATGAGCTCGCGCGAAGAAGTCAGCTACCCCATTCTGCGACAGCATGATGTTGACTACGTGCTAGTCGTGTTTGGTGGACTACTCGGCTACTCAGGTGACGATTTGAATAAATTCCTCTGGATGGTCCGTATCGCCGAAGGTATCTGGCCAGATGAGATCAAGGAGCGTGACTACTTCACCGCTCGTGGCGAGTATCGTGTCGATGATGAGGCCACTCCCGCCATGAAGAACAGCTTGATGTAAGAACCCCAGATTTTGATTTTGGTTACCTGAGTCACTACTAACACCATCAATAGGTACAAGATGTCATACCACAACTACCAGTCGCTCTTCCCGCCTGGTCAGGCTATGGATCGTGTCCGTGGCGCAAAACTTCCCAAGGAAAGCCCTCAACTCAACACACTGGAAGAGGCTTTCACCAGTGAGAACTGGATTGTTCGTCTTTACAAGGTCAAGGACTTGGATAACCTCGGCCGTGATCACAGCAACGCAGTTGCCTTTGACAAGGGTCTCAAGCGCAAGCGTGCCGCTAAGAATAAGGGTCCTCGTGTTCTGCGAACCGAGTAGAGATTTGTTTTCTAGATTATGTTGCATTTTTTTTGTCTTGTTGGCTGTTATGATTCGCTCTGGCATAGCACGCCATTTGTACTGTGCGTTACAACCATGCCGAATATACTCTAGGTCCAGTTACCTAGAAATATATTAATGCCCTTCTTCCTGAAAGGCTATTCCAAATACTGTTTACTAGCCTCAGCTGCGTAATATTAGCGATTCAACGTTGGAGTGGCGATTAGATGGCCGAGTTTATCTGTGAAGGTAGAGCACATAGAAGGCATAAAAGCACATTACGAAAAGATGGTAGACATCCGTAGCCCAAATTTATTGTACAGCCTATAATCCAAACCAATTCTTCCTGTACGTGGCAGCACAAATGCTGATATTATCGCTAATCCTGCAGATCTGAAAAACAATGTCTCCCTGAAGACTCCAAAACCCCCAATTGCAGCGTCAACCCATCACCAAGTACCGGTGGGCGTTGAGCGTGCTTCATTTCTTGTCCGCGGGGGCATCGGGGACCTTGACGTCGGCGAATTCTTCTTGGCCGACAGCCTTGAGGGTGTAGGTATCTGGAAATTGAAGCCATATCAGCGTGATGTCCTCTCTGTTATGGATATCGAGTCCGCATAAAGACTTCTCAGTAGGCAAGTCCTGGTGGCATGATCGGTTGCGGATCGAACATAGAAATAGGGTTGAAGCGGAACGAGAAGCGGTATGCGTCGTAGGGTTTACTCACAGACTGCAATTGTAAATGCGAATAGTCCGAAGCCTGTGAGAGTATTCTTGAATAGATATGGGCGGCGGGCGCGCAGGAGGGCGGCACCGGCGCGGTAGTCCTTGCCGTAGTAGGTGGAGTTGAAGCTGTTAGAGAAATATGATGTTAGCAAGAGGGCTTCCCAGGTCTATAGAAATGATACATACATTCCAGTAGCCATGGCGAGAGTGTTTGTTGGTAGAGACGTGAGAGACAAGAAAGTTGAGGCCATACAGGCAGACCCGGAGGAAAAGTCTTGGCGTTGGAGGCCCAGACAAACGCGGGTTTAGATGTTTCTAAGATTATATCGAGATTTCCTATTGTAATTGAGGCTACGGTTGAATCCAATTTCAAATCATTGAAGCATAGAGAGACTACTTAATACATCAAGTGTTGTATGTAAAGAGATACGCAACTCACATACATCGCGGTCTTTGTCGGCCGCCCTTTCAGTCCTTCGCTTTTGTCGCATCCTCGACGGCTGTCAACTTCACTTCTCAATCGCCCTTCTTTCACCACCCATCGCATAACCACTTATTTCTCCAACACTTGTGTTACTTTACTGCTATTTCCTCGTTTAGCGATCGCAACCCCAAGCTTATGCGCGTTGCTTTTGCAACTGCATCCGTGTCCCCGTCCACTCACCAACGCCCTTCCTTCCCCCAACACCTAGTCTTTCAACTCGAATCCGACACAACCGTCGCATACCGGATAACTTCCCATTAAAGCTACAATGGCTCAGCCAACGGATAATGTCGTCGACCAGGTCGCCCAGCTTAACGCTGCCCGCAGCCTTGTCCTCGGGGATGCCGCTTTCTACCCGCAGATCGTTAACGGCATCCTTCCTATCGTCGGAGCTAGTACACGACTAGAATTGCGAAGATGGGGTGCAAACTTTCTGGCAGAAACTTTTGCTAGCCCAATGTTAGCTGTCGCGCAGAAGGAGCAGCTGGCACCGAATGTCCTACAGACAATCCGCGAGATTCTAGAGTTGCCGGAGACAGATACGGCAGTGCTACAGAGCTTAGTGCAGACTTCAGCTAGCTTGTATCCCCTTGTCTTCAGACATGTGTAGGTTATTATCAAGCTTTCGTGGCTGCGGCGCAGGAGCACACTAGACGACAACTTGGTACAGAGCTAACAATACCCGCAGTGTGAACCATCCACAGGATAGCAAGTCATGGGAGACTATGAGTGCAATCAAGCAGGATATACTTAGGAGAATGGACTCATTCCCATGCCCAGTCAAGCTTTGCTGTGCTAAGTTCATCCAGCGCGTGGTCCAAGTTCAGACACCTGGACTAATCTCAGACCCCAGGGTATGTGTTGCTAGCTATACAGGCTTGGATCTA